GTTGGTGCAGGTGAGGAGAAGAAGTTTGTCCGTTTTGTTAGGAAGGGAACGGACATTCTTGAGATGAATGCTTGGGAGCACAGTCCGAAAGCCACGCGCACGGAGCTTCACCAGGGCGCCGGCGCGTTTCCCTCTTCTGCGTCTGCACGCGCGTTTGAACAACACCGCTGTACCTCCTAGAATGTCCAACAAAACGTCTGAATAATCAAAAACCGGAAAAATATTGTCTGGGATGTGTTGCTTAATGTTAAGGAGTTCGTCTCTGGTAAAACTTTTAGTAGAAGAATGACAAAACACAGAACAAACAAACAAAAACAATTGAAGAATCGCGGAGCTCAGCGTCCTTGCTGCCATTTGCGGCGCCATCTTGAAAGACAACAAGTTACTCCCAACACTGATCACGATAATGAACTTGCATGATATTTTTATCGTGGGCACTTCAAAATACCGTACACAAAATAACAACGTCCACTATCGAGCAATAATGCAGAGCAAAAACAAAAAAATATGGGAAAAAAATATATATTTATAACTTTTGACAATGTTAACATTAATTGTTGTAGTAATTGTATATTCAATAGTGCAATGTAATATTGGTCACTATTTGTGTTGTCCTCTGTCAGGTGGATCCAATAACAAGTTGTCTCAGCAGTTCATACTTTATCATTTTGTCAGGTTCAACTCAAAATATCTGATATGCTGTCTGTTTTTTGGCTGATTTCTTTCACGCTATTTTTTAACTCACATATTCCTTTCTGCATATCATTAATGAATTTCTCTGCTTTCTCCTTAAACTCTCTTTTATGTATCTGTTCCTGTCTGGGTTTGACAGGTTTGGCACGTTGCTTCTTGTTGTCTTCAATAATCTCTTTGAGAATATCAGGCACAGAACTAACTTTGGCGATCATTTCTGAAATGTTTCCAGACAAATGCACAATTTCAGACATCTGGTCACCCACTTTACTCCTGTCATGTTCCTGAAACAGGTGTCTTTTTTCAAAGCAGTAGGCAAAATGTTCACTCAATGCCTTGGCATTGTGGTCTGATAGTAAAGCGTCTCTCAATATTTCCTCAGTGTGTTGGCCGATTTTTTCCAATATGTCAATAATAGGGTTCATTTTATCCTGAAATCCCTTAAGTTCCTCTTCAACAGATTGTTTTAAGTTCTTCTTGAGCTGTGTTTTCTTGTATAGTCTAAAAGTAGCACATAATACAGCAACTACAGCCGCAGCTGCCCCTGCTGCAGCAATAATATCAGAAACCTCTTCATCAATTAAAAATAAAGCTAATGCCAACAACACCATCGCGATTCCTCCAGTTATTTCTCCTCCCCTGCGTGCATAAATAGCAAATCTGTTACCATTTTCAAACTCATTGATGAGATCATGAATTTTCTCCAAATGCTTTTTGCATTCTGGCAAAATGTCCTTTTGAAGTCTATTAAATTCCTCTTTGAGATGAATAACATCAGATCTAAAAAAAAAAAGAAAGAAAGAAACATAAGGGACAGTATATCCTGTATGTTTTGCAATACAAATATTTATATATTAGTACATTTATGGCAAACATGTATATTAACTGATATGTATAGATAAAACAGTTTCAATAGTTTGATACTTCATGATATATACAGTATACTATATATAACTTAACTTGTGTAGTTACATATAACTATATATATTTTTTTTATTAAACCTCTGCATCAAGTGAAAACCCATTATAAACAAACATAACAACATATTAAAACAATATAAACTATCTCTCACGACATGAAAACTGGTTCCTCCATGCCTCCGCGCCGATGGTGACCTCTCGGTGAAGCCATTGTTGCTGTGATTAAACAACACAAGAGTTATTTATCATCTGTTATGTCAAGACCAGCTAGGACCACATTGCAAATTTAAGTGACTAGCAAGATCATCATGCAAACACTCAAGCCTGGCTTAGTTACACATGCTATATTTCAATCTGCTGGAGAGACTAAAACACAGCAATGAACTTAATTTTTCTGTGGTGCATTTCAGTCTCCAGTCAGAAGGAGGTGTATACAAAATTCTGAATAATAAAAACAGACTCATGATGCAGACTGGAATCATAAATCATATTGTGTTTGTTCGATTAGGGAAGAAGAACTGTACTGTACTGATGCTATCAGATGAGAACACAAAACTTGAACTGATTTGAGCTGAATAACAACATTATCTCAATGACGCTTAATGATTAACTTTGCAACACTGACAGTTATTCTCCTATTTTCTGAAGCTGCTTTTTGTGCTTAGTTTGTCCACAAGGTGGCAATAATAATAATAACTAGAAGCTAAAGTTAATAAACAAATTTTGAGGCAAAAATAGCCAGATCACTTTTGTGTTCAGTGTTCATGAGCTGCCCATCTGCAAAAAAAATAAATAAATAAAATAAAAGTACAGCAGTTATAGTTTTCATAA